AGCCCCCTGCGAGCAACCGCCACAGGCGTTACCCCGCCGTGCCCCGCTGCCCCCGGCCGCCCCGCCCCGGCCTCGGCTCTGCCCAACCGCACGCAGGCACCGACACGCTCTCCGTTTCATACTATGCTTTGCGTTGTTAATGAAACTGCTGCAAGTTCGGCATTTTTATGGAAAATTCTCGGGAAAAAATACTGAACTGGCGATGATCTTGCCATGACAACTAGAAATAACATCAGCTTTGAAGGAATTAACGTTTGCCTCTGGAAATGACTTCGTATATTAAATGTGAAGAGTCAGTTCTCAAAAAAAAAAACAAAACAAAAAAAAACCCACCCAAAAACTATGCATGGAACTCTGTATTTCTAGAACATTGTTTTAAACGTAGGTTGCTCAAAAGCTAACCTGCTTTTAAGTGAAAGAACTATCACAAAGTGTAGAAGCGCTAATACCTAGTAACTAACCGTAGTGACTTAAAAACTTCTGGATTTGCATGTTCCTGTGACCCTCCAGACTTCCTTGCTATGTATGCATAGGTCAATAGAAGTGCCTGGCACGGCAGACTCCTAGCACTTACACATTCCGGTAATGGCATGCACATTTTCCCAGGTAAACAGCTGAAAGGCATGCTTCCTTCTGCTCTGCCTTAGCGCCAGAGCTCACCCAGCCACTACAGGTTCATAAATCCTTAACTGAAGTGCTCAAAACACTTCAGCAAAATCTAACACTTCAACAGTTTTATATGCCAGGATTACAACATTTATTTCCTGTTGTTCTCATTAAAATTTATTTCTACAGGTAAGTGGAGACACCAAAAGGGATAAATAACTAGTCAAACATTGCTTGAATTCCTTAATTCTACAATGACATTACGCAAAAAAAAAAAAGGGGGAGGGGGGAAGGATTCCTTAAAATATTAAGGCTTTTGTGACTTGATTTTGGAAGCTCTGAAACACCATATGACCTGTAGTAAAAAGCTTTTGTTTGGTGTTTCCCAGGTTTTCAAAGCAGCAACAAACCTTTAGAGGGTCTCTGGTACAGAGACATGCTGCCTGGAGCAATTCAAATGAACACCCCGAGTGTACACATACAAGGTGACAGCAGAATAAAGGCTGTATTTGCAATAAATATTTTAGAAGCGTAGTAATTCATTCCAGAAAAAAATGGGTTTGAATGTTAACATTCAGAGAAAATAAGTTTTCTGGTGTCCTCCTTCCCTTCTCTACACACTGACTTTCCTCACCATCTGAGGTTCCCGCTCTCCTTGTTTGTTTGCTTCCTGAAACTGCCTCTCCTCCTCCTCACATTTACACCTTTTTCCACCCTGTCCCACCTTGTCAACCCCAAAGTCCCAAATCGCAGAAGGCCCAAACAAGGAAGCTCCCTGCCAGCTTACTGCTGAGCCCCGTGAAGCCACTACCCTTCTCTACCCCCACGTCTTCCCAGATTCATTCACGTTAATCATTTCAGTCACCTTCATGAAGATCGCAAGATCATGTATTGAAACTGGGGAGGTTCTGATTTGACCTAAAGGAAAAAAAAAAAAGAAAAAAAAAAAAAAAAAAGGAAAAAAACCCACTTTCTCTGTGACAACCCTAAGCTACCCGGTCTGAATTCAGTATTGGCCCTGCTTTGACCATTGGACTAGGGACCTCCCACGATCTCTTCCGAACAGAACGTTTGTACAGTTCTGTGGTGATTGTGGTGATTGTGTGCTTGGGGTTGGGAGCTAGTGAACTTATAAGGCTAGTACTCATTTAATTCATCATTCAAAACACCTTTTAAAACGTTCTTCGGTTTGCCCTTCCTAACACCTTTAGCAAGTTTGGCAACAGCTATACATACTTGAAGTAGGACTAAGAGGAACTGATTTAACTGCGTCTTTTGTATCTTGCAACTCAAGATAACGATCTACACACATCTTTTCTACTAAGTTGTATTTGTAGCACGTCCGGACCAGGGGTTTCTTCAGTCCTTCAGGAATATATGGACAGCAGTTCTCAACTTAAGAGAGGCTGATTTTGGTAGTAAGAACGACCGTTCCCAAAACACTCACTCCTCTTCCTCAGCCTTCCTGCACATTCTGCTACTAAGTCCCAGCTATGCTCATACCAACTCATCTTGTGAGTGACATCTTAAAATTAGGAAGTTTACATTTAACTAAGTTTTTGCTGTAACTTTTTTACCTCAGCTCTTAAAATACTAACATGACGATATTTTTGGAAGGCAAAGGACATAATGCCTTCCCCTACAGATGGAGTTGCTAATTTCAAGATGTTTTCATGATATTAGCAAGAAGTTGGACTTTTTAAAATGATTGTTAAAATACAAAAATGTCCCTTTTCTTTATATCAAACTTTGCACTGCACAATTTCTTGAACAATTTCAGCAACAGCCTATTTGCTTTCAGAGCATGTAAAGACATGCTTGTAAAACAAGCAGGTAAACTTTACTTCAAAATGGTGTGAATTAAGACTGAATTACCCTTGAACACAAGGCAGCTTTCCAAAGCAATAATTTACATGGAAAGGAATCATCTATAATCAAGAGACATTTTCAGTATTTTTACAGAAAACAATTGATGTTTCATCTAACCTGAAGTGCTCCCAGCTTCCTCAAAATCAATATTTCCAAGGTGAAGGACACCAGCCACTACTCTAAAAAGATCAAGTTTTTCTGCATCATCCAGTCCAATCTTTTTCATTGCTGTGCACATTCTGTTAAAATCTCCGTGATCATCTAAGAGTGGATCCTTCAGGGAACCTGCTTTGAGATACTATAAAACAACAAGACAAACCAAAAATTCAGTAAGTGATTTTAAAGTAAATGTAAGCAATTATTTCCAGTCAAGAATAAACCATATCAAAAAGCATAGAAAAGCATGCCAAACTAAGCAGAAAGAGATTAAAGCTCTTCATATAGTACAGGCTTTGCAAGAACCCTAATTTCTTTTAATTTGTTGATACTTCAAAGCATGATCTTCAAACTTCAGCTTCAAAGCAAACTTCAAACTATCTTCAGCAAGCAGAAGTTGGAGAGTGTGACAGCTAGGGAGAGAGGAATACAGGACAGTGAGCAGTGGAAAGGAAGATTTTGGTTAAGGAAGCTATCAAAGCACTTATACTGAGGAGTGCTTCTGGCCCCTAGCAGTTGAATAGGATGACAGAAAGTTTGACAGGCCATGGGAAAGGAGTACAGGACAAATCAGAATTGGAAGAGTTATCCCTGTCCCAAACAGACTTATTTAGAGAAATATACTTGTTAAAGTTTGCTGGTGATTAAGAAACAGTAAAGTTGTTCGCAGTGTTGGACAGGTTAAAAGAATACCAGCTACGTTTTAAAATACCAATTTAAAATACCAATTTAACATTTTGCTGATTTTCCTAATTTAAGTACATCAAAAGCCATTTTAATTATTAATGGTTTTAAACAGTAGATAGTAACACAACTGCATGCAATCAAGAGACTATCTGAACATGCACAGACTGATCTAAGGTTTTACAGTTACTTTAAAATGTTTTCAACTAAAAAGAATAATTAATTTGAAATAGAAGCCTTGTTAATGTCAAATAAGCTAACATGATTTTTATCAAAACAAAACACCACATGCATCTGAAAAATTCACTTCACACACATTTAGACACATCAATAAAATTAAACTCCATCTTAATTATGTAAAATGATCACCTCATCTTCCTGATAAGGAAAACACAAAAATAATTGAAGTATTAATTGACTATTCCAGCTACTTTTATTAAAATAAACAATCTTAATGTTTTTCACAAAATGACAGAGCAAATACTAAGTTTCTGATTTTAAAAAACTGAACAGTGCAATATATTTCCTGTTTAAGTGGCTAGACTAAGTTTTAATATCACTGAAATGTGATCACTTATTGCACCTTCAAATTGACATGGCTGTAACATACAAGTATTATGGCATTGTATGTTCCACTATTTAATGTCCAATACATATTTTCAGAATTATTCTTTCAGTATGTCCTTGTTTAGACAAACACTTATTTCAAATTAAGTCCTTTAGAGAACACATTTTTTGACAGAACGGAAGATTACATAGGTTCATCTTCCAGTAGTAAGAATAAATTACCAACTTCACTACAAGTGTTAATTTAAGGCAAATTAGGTAAACTGAGGCAAAATCTCCCAACCATCTCAAGAATTAAGTGTCTACCAGCTTTCTGTCTCACAATAATATCAAATTGGCATTTCTGTATCTCACTCTCCACCATCCCCAATTGTAGAAAATAGCCTACATTCAAGCAAAAGAAATTGGCATTACGTGCTCAGTGTTACAACATATAAACACTAGAAATCCAGGAGTAGACATTACAATGTTGACCTGAGCAAAGGAAGTATCTATACTGTCTTTCATAGCTAGGCTATGAGCTACGTACAAGCTCAAGCCCAGGTTCTCAAAGATAAAAGAGATGGCACGGTCATTGGGGAAGAGAAGCTCCTGACTAAACTTATCTTTATATTAATCCAGCTGTATATGCAGCTTGCCCTGCTACTGAATCCCAAGTATGTATTTGATTAAGATTTGAAATATCTTCCAGTTATACAAATGAAAAATTCATACTTTAGGTATGAATAGATGAAAATTGTATTAGAGAGCAGAGTAGAAGTTTAATGAAGTGTTTAAACAACTCCAATTCACATATACTATTAATTCTGATTAAATTCTTTAGTGTCCTCATGCGAACAAGCTCAAAGGCTTAAATGCCACAAATTCTGGTAATTCCAGTTTTAAAAAACATAAACGGAGATGGAGCAAGAGGAAAGAAATGTTTTGAAGTTTCACACTTTCTTCCAGGAAATGCCATGCTCTGCCGTAAGTAACAGTTCATAGCAAGGGGACAACAAAAAACAATAAAGAATGCAGTGTACCGGAGAGGGGGATATACTCATGCTGGAAGTGACGTTGCACTAAAGTTTTATAAAACAGTTTGGAGCATCGCTTCAAAAATCCAGACAATAAAAATAGCTCTGGAAAAAACTACTGCTTCTGACCTATATCCTAGTGTAGTCTAACCAAATAGTTAGCTTTTAGGTTGAGAAATAAAACAAGACATTATTCAATCTCTGTAGGGAGTTAACTGGGCATGGCCTTGGAAGAAACATGCTAAGTCAGCCAAATAAGGGAGTACCAAGATAAGCACTAAGAGAACAGAAAAAGAAACAACTACTTGAACTACGGGTGAACTATCCTAATTAGCATAGTAAAAAACCCACCCACGGGCAGGAAAGCTCCCTACCCAACAAAGCCCCTTCCCCACTGAATACGCACAGTAAAAAGAAAGGACACTGTGACTTTAAGTGAAGACAGGTGTACAAGAACCAATAGAAGTAAGGGTGACTAAGTGTAAATGTAAAAAGTACTGATAACTGTTGCTCGGAATGTATAAAATGCTTACCACGTGTTAACTGAGGTGTGCTAGCTTTGTGGAGTTACCACCCAGCACCCATTTCTGCACAGACATAAAATAAACAAATATCTCGGCTCTGTGCATGAGATTGGCTTATTGCACACCGGGTAACGAACCCCGCTTGAGGGACAACACTAGCAGTAGTAACATTTAAAAAAGAAATTTACAAAGAGACTTGGATAGATTTTTTTTTTTCCCCCCACAGAAGACAAACTGCATCATTAAGTGTTGTATTATTATAAGAATGAAAAGGAAACTATTTTATACACTCTTCCATTTGGGATTTTAAGATGCATGTATTTCTAGACTGAACTCCAAAACCAGAGTTCTAAATATACCAGCTTTGACAGTACCCATTTAGACCTATAAAGATGTGTAAAATGAACATTTCATTCCACACTGTAAAACTGTAATCAATCATAATTTTCAACTCTATCTGCATTAGTTAGCAATATAAACTAACTGAAGATACAGACATACCTCAGGACTCTTGCGATTTTGCAAAATCTGCTTGTCTGTTTCTTTGTTAGCAAAGTATCTGGTACAGCCTCGATTTAAATACTGTAACAATAAAAAAGTGGAAATGCATACTTAAAAACAGAAGCAAGGAAAACATATGCTTTTATTTAAGGCTTGCTTTTATGATACCAACAACGTGCTAGGTATTCAGAATTCATTCCTTGGAAAAGTATTTATTTACATCTACAAAATTACAGAAGTGCAACAGTAACAAACTTCTATTGAAAGCTTTTTGATTTTGACAACTAAAATACTTTTTGACACAGTGGCATATTCATTTTGTTAAGTCCCACAATCTTTTCTTAATGTTTGACTCTACCAAACCTATTAATGGAGTCTGGGATTACAGAAAAGACAATCAAAATTAGGAACCAAGAAAATAAATTTTCTGGCCTATGTGTAATACCAAACTTTACTCCAGCAAGCTATATAGAACATTAGAAAAAACTCACAATAATCTTTGTTTTCAGCAACGTATAGGCTTTATATAGTATATCCGGTGAGAGGGGTAGGATCAAAGAATTTGTGGTACTAAGTCCAGTGTAGTTTTATGGTCATTTTTTCCTCATCAGTAAAATATTTCTATAGGTAGTAAGAGACATAGCATATTAACAAGCTTGAAGACTATTAAAAGCTTGTAACATGGTAAAAGCAGAAGCCTAATTCAGAATCTGGCTTCTGACATCCATCTCATGTTGTATAGTAAAGGGAATAGACCAGGCATTCAGATAATGACTGACACTTCCATCAAAATGGGATCGCCAGCTTTTTCTTTCTGATTTGTTCAGCTGAAAGTAAGAACTCTGTCCAAAAGCTTGGACAGAGCCCTTTGTCTAAAGGAAGTGAACTGATTCTTTGCTCTAGCCAATGAACAAAGAAGATGTTTTCAACTAGGTGAACACAGATAATCCTACACTTTGATTAAAATTTATACACAAATGTCTAAAAAAAATAAAATATTCTTCAAAGCATTTCTAACAGCGGAAGAAAACTAGGTGACAAATTTAATATTAAAACAAAGTGACAAGAAACACTGTTCAAAGTCAGCTTGGTATTTAACAAAATACTGAAAAGTTTTCTTTATCAGGCAGTAAGAATGCAAAGCACAGCATATTTTAAACACAACAATATATCCCTGTATTACAGTATTAGTAACACAATCCCAAAAACTGGAGATGGGAAGTGAAAAAGGTCATGCTTTTCAAGAAGAGAGTGTGGAAACTTATCTGACAGGCTGAGAATGTGAACCAGCATGGTATTCAACAATAATCTATGTAGGAGACATTTAATCACAAGATAATTTGAAAGCTTTTCATTTGAAAGCTAAAAACCTCAAGCAAATTTACATATGAAACCTAGGAGAAATTATATTTTTAAAGCACACAAATACATAGCTTGAGGTTATCATATATAACATCTAAATACCATTGTACTTTTTTTTTTTTTTTTTTAAACTCTGAAGTACAGCACCCCATTATAACATCAGTGACCCAAACATAAGGCAGTCTAATTTCTCTTCCGGAAATTAAGATCTGAAAAAAATCCAGCTTCTCATCTCCATCAACTATACTCCAGGTACAGATTTATGTGCAACTTTACTTTCAAAGCTATGTGGTGCAGTCCAAGGCACCTAGACCTACCTAATGACTTTGAATTTCTGAAAACTTCTGCAGGGGAACCTAAAACACGAGCACCCAGGAATGCACGCTTTTGTGTGTGTGTGCTCGGAGGAGGGGTGTGTAAGAAACCTGCAACTTTTCACAGTCCTTTGCCAAGTAAGTTCATACTTCCCCATGGGAACTGCAGGGGAAGGATGAACCAACGGGGAGAGAACCCCCAACAGTGCTGCTGAAATCCAGATGCCAGTGCAGTCATCTTGGTTCACATGCCCAGAGCAACTGCACGCCTATGCCAAGATGGCCAAATGCATGGGGAGGAGATTACAAGGGACCACCTAAGTCAAAGGGAAGCTGGGGGAAAAAAGAGCCTTAAGTTATCCTTTGTCTTTTAATATTGTTTCACTTCTGTCAAAAATGAGAATTACCTTAGATTTGAGATGGTCCTATTTTCAAGTGAGTGTTGTTAAGAGAAACCAGGCATTGAGCAAAACTTGCTTGAGTGTTAGGACCCACGCTGGCCCTAATTTGGACTTTGACTTGATAAGCTAAAAGGCACAAGACAAGTGGAACAATAGAGCCGATGCAAAATTGCAACTTAGGCATGGGTTTTTATAAATAACCAATTTAAGAGTATGATTTTTGTCTGAACATTTTTCTTGTTTAAAAAATTAGCATTAATATCAAAACACTGATCAATCATCAAACCTTGCCTAGTATAATATCACCATCTATTATTAGAAGCTTGAAAGATAGTATTTCCATGAAATTTGAACCAAACAGACATGCAGTCAACAAAAAACATGGTAAAAAAGTGATACAAGCGTGATTATTCAGAGCCATTTTATGATAAAACCTGAAGCAGCAAATGAGAATGAATAACACAGAAAAAATAATCTTGACAAAAGTAATAAAAATTTAGGAAGAAAATTAACCTTTTACAGTTGTTTTTTTTCCTAAAAATCTCCTCTAAAGTGATACTTTATGAAAATTTAGTGCAATATGACTAATAAACTTTAAGTATATTTATATTAATTTACATACGTACAAAGATGAAAATATTCCTAAGTTTTTTGTTTTAATTAAAAGATAATCTACTTTAACTTCAGAAGGGGAAATTTTTAAAAAAATATTTCAGAAGGGGAAAATTTTTTAAATTTAACATCCAAAGTGGATCTTTCACATGCAGGAGGGAACTCAGGATTCAAATACTAACTTACGGTAAAGCAATAAATATTCTTAATGGAAATGAAAGTACTTGCTGCAAACTTAGTAGAAGTCAAAAAATCATGTCACAGTGTGATAAGGTTGATGTGACTATAAACTCTTTATAATTGAAACAAGCAAGTGAGTGCCTTCTGTAAAGGCACTCAGGCTGTTCAGTACTGCACTGCATCAGCCTGATTTTAAGCAGGTTATAATTCTGACCTTGACATCTACAGCCTTGTGTGCTCTCATGAGCAGAGTTTTTGACTAAAAAAAAAAAAATCCCCAAGAGTGGGCACACAGCATATTCCGTTCCAGAACTAAAAATCTATTAACTACAAGAAATAAGTTTTAATGGAAAAGTGGCTGCACAATAAAAATACATATTTGAAAGTTTGTTCAAGATTTTAGCTTTAAAACATGCAAGAGAATATTTCACAGAATAACTGCACAGCAAAGATGAAAGTTTCAAAAACTAACTCCGTATTATATGAAAATAAATGGTGCCGGTTTTTTTTTTTTTTTTTTTAAAGTATTGTGTTTATTGGGTGTTTCAAAAGAAAAGCTTTCCTTCTAGAGAACAGAAGCAGTTCCTCCTTAATAAGTATGAGATCAAGTTTCCATCGCACAGCTGAGTACAAATAGAACTACAAGAAGATACAAACTAAATATTTAAAGAAATAATATAAGGTCTATAAAGGCTCCTAGGAACACCTTTGAGGAATTAAGGAAGCTTGTCCTAAAATACTGCCATGGTTTTTAGGGAACAAGATCATCTAGATACCACAGTAGAAATGTATGATGTGCACAATACAGAACTGCAGCTCTGTGCCCACTTCCCAGCTCATCAGTAAGCAGAGACTGACTTGGCCAAGCCAAGAGGCAGCAAGCAGCAACCTGTTCGGTCACCAGCATACACTTGCCTTCCCTACAATGACTGCACTAATTTAGGTATCACCTATGCAACCACCGCTTTGCACAAAACTAGTAGGAGCTTTAAGGCTCTTTAAGGCTTCTAGCCGTCTGCTGAATTCTGATGAAACTGAGTATGAAAGATTTTGGGGAAAGTAACAGATAAGCACAGTCCAAGTTTTATTTAGAAACCCAAGCAGGAAGATACACCAACAAAGAAAACAATCAACACAGTAATGTAATTCTTCGTTAGCAGTGCTCCTCACCCCATTTAAGATCAAGGAAGTCTAAAAGATAACAGTCAATTAATTTATATCCTTGTAATTGCACATGCTCTCCAGGGTTGTGTTACAAAACCCTTCCAAACCTGCGGCAGGGATTTGGTCTGTGCATTTTAGAAATACACAAAATTCTGCTTCCGTGAGATTCCAAGCCAGGCATAAGCCAAGAGACAGTGTAGAGATGGAGACAAATGACAGAACACAAGCGAACAACTGACCAGTATTTACCAGTAGGATTTGATTTGCCAATATTTTTCTTTTCAAGGCAAGTCAACAAAGCACATGGTGATATTTGTAGATATTTACAGTTCAAGTGATTGTCAAAAGGAAAAGAAAAACAAAAACCTACCGATATATATATATAAAATTAAATAGCAGGAATAAATGATTGAAGGCAAGAGTCTTCACCTTACTAGTAAAATTGGTGATGACAGTATAAGATGTGAACAGACTTAGAAGAACCTTGAAAGGACAGCAAAAAGCTTGCTTTGAAGAGAAAGAGAAGGGACAATCAGGAAGACAATGAGAAACAGCTGTATCAGTAAAGCTGCACTGGTTGGATAAGAGTTCAATAATATTCATTTCTCAAGAAAAAAATACTGCAATAATCGAGATTCAACACTGAGAAATTAAAAGAGAATTTAAAAATAAGGGAAGTGGGGTTGGAGTCACTCAGGAAAACAAAATAGAGAAAAAATTTTGACTGACAAGAAAGGAAAGAAGGCAAAAGGAAACCATGTTATTTGTCGATCATTTCTGAAACAATTCAGAACATAGAGAAGGGGAGGAGAAAGAAGGAAAGCTGGAGGAAAAAGTTAAAAGTTAAACTGAAGTAGTAAAACCGTCCAGTGGAAAAATGGGAGGAAAAGAATGCAAGAACATAATGGTAGGACAGAAACCCAGCCTGTTTGTGGGATTGCTACTAGAAACATAACACAGAATCAGGGTTAATCAGGAGAAACCACATAATCTCAGAAAAGGGCAAAAACCCTAAAAATAAAGCATGGGGAGAAGAAGGGAAGGCAGTAAACAAATCAGAAGTCATAACAACAGGCACACTGGATTGAATTAAAAGGCCCATATTATCCAAGAGCTCGTCTTCAGCCATGACCTCTGCTTCACCCAAGGATTTTACTGTTCCTTTCTGAGTTGCGATGACAAAACTATGTATGCTATTTACAATTATGGATGTACATTGCAGCATAACTCTCTATTTCATTCACCCTTTCTTTCCTAAGAACTCCTAAAATTCTACTCTGCTTTTTCCCCACCACTGAACATTAACCTAACATTTTCATAGAAGTATACACAATGATTCAAGTCTTCTTTCCCTGCTTTTTAAGTTCACTTTCATTTAGGTATAGTTAGGAGTATTACATTCAGCACTGATTTTATTTGCATTTTATTGGCTTCTCCTTTACTTGACTGACCAGAGCAGTAACAGGTTGTGGAAAGATAGCTGAAACTCAGAAATAGTAAGTAGTCCTCCCGAAAGAATAAATTAGGTGAAGAAAAACCTTGGCAGGAAGAGCTGAGCATGGGCTTTGGGTCAATTGGAGATAAAAGGGTGAGCTTTCAGCTGAAAGGGACTAGTGAGTCTTAACATGTAACCTGGAGTGACCAAGAATGACAGAGGAGTATGATGAGAGGAACGGGAGAGGCTCAAAACTGGAGCCGTACAAATGAGTATAGTATGATAGGAACAAGGTGCAACAGAGTAGAGAATACAAGTGATGTGAAAGCACATAGTCTGGAACAGAGAAGCACAACCACCTTGTCATCATGATCCTTGGTGGGAAGCGTAAGGGAAGAATAATTTAAGAGAGAGAATCGTGGGACAACTCCTACATCTTCTGAAACACATGGTTGGAATAGGAAGAAATAAATGCAGTTATCAGGACTTAAAAGATGGGTTACCCACAGAATAGTTAGACCACAATCAAGAAATTCACGCTTTACACCTCTAGAAGAGCCCATAACAACATTACTAGCAGCGGGGTATGCAACAGTACATTTTTAAAAAGCAAAGATTCCTCATTTTTAAGTCATAAAGAAAAAGTACAGGAAATCTTCCAATAAGGAAAAATGGCAGGCAGCTTTATTTCAGCATCAAATAGATATACAAAAAAAATCTCCTGATTTTTCTAACAGGAAAGAGTCTGTCAAAGATAATAAATAGAGATTTTAGTAAGATCTATAGGAAAAATCCATGTATGGCAAGATGAGAAGCTTTACAAACACTGACTCTGATACTCACCCTGAAGTTGTCAGGAGAGCTTAGATACAGTTTTTCCCTAATGTCTTCTGGAGCACCAGCACAAAGCCTGTAAAAGATATGATAATTCCTCTCTTCTTTGCCTTGCACACAGATCCTAGATTTCTCCAGAAGGTAATGTGATACAAATCCACCAACCACCGAGTTCTAGGAGGAAGAAATATTTTTCTGATTATCTCAGTATTTTTTGGATTATTTGAGATTCAGAAGTTTTCAATTTACATTTGTCTGATCATGGCTTGCTCAAGGGACACTGCTCCAAAGAATATTAAAATCTATCTGTACCTAATACATATTAAGCTTAGAAAAGAAACCATTGTCTTTACCATAACTTCTCCCCCCGGCTCAGGTATTGCATATACATACATTCCTTTTAAAAGAAGGGTCTGCTTCACCCCAACAAGCAGAAATCCTTGGTAGAATTCCAGTAGTTCCTGCAAAGAGCATTGGTAGAGCCACCCTTACACTTTTTGGATGGCAGTAAGTGCTATTACCATGCTATTACAACCTTCTCTAGTTGCATTTCACTGAGAGTCTTGCAAAGGAGAAGGAAGGATTAAAATTAAAGAATACATATTTGGACAACATCTTAGGCAGACTAATTATGAGCGAACATTTTATTTCAAACACTTGCACTTCTTTTCTGAGATGGAAGTCTGACACAGATTTCGAAAGCCATTTGTTATCTGGCCTATGATAAAATTCCCCGTCCCTAGGCAAATCTTAACAGCAAGGAAATTCCTGAGCTTATGGCCATTACAGCAACTAAGAAGGACTTACTGACTGACAAATTTGACTATGGTTATGCAGTCATTCACTCATTCAGGAAGCCCAGTCTATAATTCCTTTGAGAAATCAGACCTAATAAGGTCACCATGAAGTGAAGTCAAGTCTTGTGAAAAAGGGACTCAAGTAAACAGGCTGATCTTGCCCTGGGAAAGCTGAAACAGGTTTTTAAGCAGTTTCTGAAGATACTCTGAATGCTATTTGCTTCAGCTGAAGCAATTAATCTGAAACACCATGTAAGTGTTGACAGATAAATTGACAGGTCATGAATGCATCATTCCAAGTAGAAATTTGGGTACTTTGCGTAAGTTTATTAACATGAACTGGACCAACAGGTAAAGTCCCTCTACCCTTAAAGGAATTTAGTTATTTACTGTGTAAACAATTAACCAAAGATCTGAAGTTTAGCTGCGAAACTAATGGATGAAAACTTAGGAAAAGACCACAAGCTCAAGACCAGATGATGAGCTTAAACTCTGCAGGAACTGCAAGAATTTGTTTCTTTATGCCCTCAGATAGAAAGATGAGGAGGCATGTACTTAATCTCTACAGGGATCATTGACAAAAGTCTTCAACTTGGCCATGCTGGACAGCTATACAGTCATCCTTAATTGTGGAATGTGTGTATACATACCCTATGCAAGCAAAACTACACCCAAACAAAGAAAATTTTTCATAAGCTACACAGTGAATAGTACTTTTGACAAAAAACAATTCCATGACTTCTGTCACATATATAATACTAATGTGAAGTCCCAAAACTTCATACAAATATATAAAAACATCAATAATTCATTTAAAGTATTAAAGCATTAAAATATGTTTATATCTGTTTATATCTAATATGCAACTCACACTTATTTGTGCATTAAAAGAATGCATAAATACTTAACAGCAAGTAAGTTAGTCTTTAGATACGCCTTTTTACAATCAAGGGAACAATTTTTACTCTGTTGTGGATGGAAGCAATTTTCCTACTGACTTGACCCACCATTTTCCAGTAGTGACACAGTACTGTGGCTTTGGTTTTCCTTTCAAGGTGACAGAATACAGAAGCAGGACAGTAGCTACTTGGTGCAAGATAAATAAATCTATTCAGCCTACTTCCAGTCTAGCATTACCATTTTATGGCCAAAAAATCATCACTGGTTATCTGTACCAAAATTCCGATACCTTTTCATTGAAGTGAATTTCTACAAATTTCCCAAAACGACTGCTGTTGTTGTTGCGAACAGTCTTTGCGTTTCCAAAGGCTTCTAATAAGGGATTTGCTGTTTAAAAAATTAAAATTTTTAAAGTGTTAAGATTTGATCAATAAACTACCAAAAAAGAGAACAAATACATACTAATTATTCAGTGAACTTATTGGGAATAAGTTCTGAAAATTAAAGGAAAAATATTACCTATTAGGAATAATCAATTTTGCAAATTGTACTGGATATATTGTGGTGGAACTTAACAATGAAGTACTTAAATATCCCATAACATTGCAAAGTATTTGAATCAATACTGTAAATTCAGAGACAAACACTGAAAATTATTTAGTGATGTTCTTCTACAGCAAGTGGGTAAATAACTGATACATAAACTATATGAGACAACACACAATTTGACACTTCCCAATGAGTTGTTATTCATAAAATCTAAACTACCCACTTATCCCACAGACAAAAGTGCCACTTAAATGTCATGCATGCAACATGTTAGATTGATTAGGGAATTAAAAAAAAATGTATTAGAAGAGCGTGTTGATTTCAAAAACAACATAAAAATGCCCTTTCAAATTAGGTCAATTAAGTGATTGAGTGATTTTATTTTTTACTGGCTGCAGTTTTCAAGCACCTTAAAGCCCATACAGAAAGAGTGCCAGCAATCTAAAGCATATATATATAGATACATATTTATATATTCACATCATGCACAGCTTAAGCAGTTTGAAAATGCTTAGTAGTTATGAAACACAAGGCCCCTGAAAGACTGCATTTACTAGCTCTGAAGATCAAAGAAAACCAATTTACTGAATCGCGCTAACAATAAACCATTGCAAAGATCTGCAAGATTTTTTAAGGCTTTTAGCTAAAAAGATATTCATTGGAAACTAAGTGAGCAGAAACTCAGATTTAAAACTTTACTGACAACCACCTACAAATCTGCTCCTACAAAAATTAAAGAATGAAGGAATAACTACAATGGTTGGATAAATTATGGATGATAATGCATCATTTAGTAGGACATCATCAGCATTAACTTTCTTGTTTTGGTTATGAAAATGCAAATCTGACTTTCAAAATGGACTTCTTAAGAGCTCTTTGGTAACTATTCAAGTATTTTACATAATATTAACAGTTTTGAAGAAAAGATTATAAATAAAAACAAATTGCAAGAGGTCTTTCAGATAGGTTGAAGGTTCCTCTAGTAATACATACGCTGTAAGCGTGCTCATTAAAATTGTGCCTAAAAAACTTCAAAATTCATGCATCAAATGCTGTTTTAGGTTAAAAAAACGAAACTTTTCTAAGAATACCTACAAGTACCAATTAATTTCATGGCATACTGCGTCAGGCATTATCCAACTCTTGGCAACTTTCTGAGTTCCTTTAGCACACAGTGGATTTCACTAATGAATTGGTTTAACCAAACCTACAGCAACAAGAGATTAAAGCCTGCAGTAGTTCTCTTGAATAATCCAGTGGCTCGAATTTGAAAACAGAAAATTTAAAGCAAAAGAAAAAGTAAAAATTTTTGGTTTACGAAAAAGACAGAGAGTAATGAAATTCCAAAATAAATCTACCATATGCTATAGAAGACAAACTGACATATGAGGCATTATTAGATTGGCTGAGGGTTGTTTGTTTTTGAGATATTTATATTTTCTCAAAAAGTTATTTTCTGTTCAATTAGGAGATGCATACAACATTAGAGAGGCTCAACGGGATGATCAACACAGTCTCTTCTGACCTTGTTTGGGAGTCTATTATAAAGCTAGACCCAATGAAAGTGTTACTCCAAATTATGTACTTTCTAACAAAAAAAGACATTACAGAAAAATGACCCAGAATCATAATTTAAAAGAACCTGCCTGCTTTATCTGACTTTGAGAAGTTTATGGTGAGGAGGAGGAATTACTCTTTCCTGGTACTAACAGATAGTAATGAGAACATAGTCTTGTCCTTGCAGATTTTATACAGCATAAAATCCAATCTTGGGTACACGTGTGTGAAGTTCAACTCAAACACACACTTAAACATTTTCTAGATCAAGGACTATATGACACTATACTAAATAAAGATAAAGTGAATCACAAATAAAAAATATGTTTTCAGAATTTATCAGTAAATGATGCCTTAGGAAGTCTGATAGTATTTCCATCCTAGCTTTTATTTAGTTACTGTTGAATTAAAATGGGGGGGGGGGGGGGAGCGGAATTAAAACATTGGAACCTTTACTTCAATTAAAGAAAATTCAATACCTTCTACAATTCTGTCATCGATATCTTGGCCAGTACCATAGGATTCTGTCAAATACCTGTAAAGCAAGATAAAAATATCAGTATCTTTCATGTTCAATTCAACAGGATTTAGCATGTCTGTGCACCATACTTACTAACCATTTACTAAAGGGAAAGCATATTGATTACAAGTTCCAAATACCTAAATCTTTTAAAATAAATGCTGTTTGACTTTTCTTTTTTGTTAAAACGAAAATATTCTTGGAGACTTTTTTCAATACTGCAAGAAATTGCTAGAAATTTCCTCTAGACGTGCATATGGAAATTACAGTTTTACACAAATATAATGAAACTATTACTGTACTACCTGTATTTATTAATAATCTTAGTAAATGCATAAGGTTTCATATGTATTTCCTGAATTAAAGACTGTTTCCATGCATACAGCTTCTGTGTTCATAGCTATCAGTGTTAATAAAAATCCCACACGGAGACAGTGAGATAGGAAATTGCAGGTGCATAATCAAGATAAGATTCAATTTAGCAACTGAAGAAAGAATTTGAAAAGAAATCCACAACGTACTTTCTCCAAAGTTGCAGCTTTATTTGTGCACAGGGCATGCCTTCTGGAAATTCACAAGTAAATCTGGGATGAGTTAAAAACAGAAAATGGGGCCTTCCAAAAAAAATTTAGGAGCACTAACAGAGCTGTATTAGTACCTTTTGCTTTCTGATCACACAAGAGAAAAAACTTCCTGCTTTTAAAACTCAATGATGTTTTGTACACGGACTGTATGGGGACGGGTGGTGGGGAGAAGCAGCAGCAGCGATATTTGCGTGTAATCAGAACTTCCTTTGCTGAGAAGCGGAAGAATAACCTCCTTTGAGAGCATTCCTCAGGAGATGTTCTCCCAGTGCCTGCCATCTTCTTTTACTCTTAGCAGGATCAAAGTTAGGATTTCCCCTGTAAAAATCATTACCAGCACCTAGCAGTAATTCTTACAGCTATCTGTTAAAGGTTGCATAGGGGCAGAGAAGAGCAGTATGAAGGACAGACAGCTGTGACAATTCTTCATGGGATGTGGAAGATAATACCGCTACTGTACATACATACCAGAGAATACATGATGTCAGGGAAAAGGGAATTAAAGACTTATACTGGGAAACAAGGACAAGGCGGGGAAGGGAGCATATTCACACTGCCTGCACTGTGCTTCCCTGGATAATCAGGCCACCTATGATATAGGCGAATTTCATGGAGCAGTGCTTTCCAGTGTTCCAGAGTGACATAAAGCAGTTAAAGTATAAAGCAAATATGGTCAAAAACATTAAAATCATGTAAGAGGAAGCAAGGCTGATATATATCAGCAACATGGCTTCCACGTAGTTTAATATGCTTGATTTAGTATCGGTCATACACAAAAATCAATAAATAAATACATCCCATTATTCAATCTTATTCAGTGAATTAGGGTAAAGTATATTACAGAATCTCCGCAGTGATCTCAAAATCAAGAGTTAAAAACCCTGGATGCTTAAGCAAACTAAAGAAACAAAGACAGGGAAAACACAGAAATACACATTTATGGCAAATGCAACAGTGTCTTGCAACAGTTAAAATGCCTCGTTATGTTTTTATCTACCACAATACCAGATGTGCAATACCAAAATGACTGCATTATAAACCATAACTACTACATGATGTCACTAGAACTGAGTTAAGGTTTCTGTGAATATATAGCCATTTCCGTATGTTATCATGTCAGCATTTAAGTTTAACCCTATGAGTTTCTTGTGTACATAGAAGTGAACATAGAAGTCTCTTACTGAATTGTGGCTTAAACCTACTGATTACTTTACAATTTGCTCTGTCTGTACATCAACCAAACGCATCAACACAAGAAATTCAATGAATAACTTTGGTCCAAAAGCACAAACCTCAAAACAAATTTAGTGTTTTCTGTCTTGCCAGCTCCTGATTCTCCAGAGACTATGATGGACTGACTCATCTTGAGCACTTTCATGTCACGGAATGCTTTATCAGCTTAAAAAGAAGAATACGTTAAACATGACAAAAATTAATATTCAGGAGAGTTGCAAGCATAAAGTTAAGCTACAATACAAAAATTAAAATGTAAAATTTTCAGGAATAAAAAAAAGTAAATCTTTACAACTGAGTGCAATACAATTTATTAAAGTCTGTTTCCCTTTAAATTACATTATAGTTGCTCACCCTCAAACACCGGCATGTAAGAGCTTAAAGTCTTTGAAAACAAAGACCTACTCAACTATATCCAGGACAAAATAAAACAAAAACCACCACCTATAACTAAATCTCTTGAATTAAATGTATTTACAAAATTGTAACCAATCTTACTTTAATGTGTCCTTTAAAGGGAAACTTCCAGTTGCATTTTGTAACAAGTAACATCTGAGACAAGGAAACTTGGAAAAATGTGGGTAGTTTTCTTGTTATGCAACAGGTACTAAAAATCCAGCTATTTATTTTTCTGATTACAAAACAAAATGCAACATGGTGAGAAGGCTTTTAACAAGTCAAATGTTGATTTATAGTTTCCAATTTTTTTTCTTCTTAAACAAAGTGACTGAAATCAGGTTTATCCTGTTACTAACATTTAAATGCACTTTCTGCCTATAACACAAGCATATAAAAAGAAACAGTACATGTGCTCTGGCAACATAATAAAAGGCAAAGGAAATCACTACACTAAAAGACAGTGCCAATCATAATTACGTCATTCTTCACTTCTAAAATCTGAATTTCTTTTTTTCCCCTCTTTTTTTTTTTGTTTTTAATGGTTGTAAATTATATTTAAACCCCTTACACATAAAACACTGGAGGTACAGAATAACAACAACAGGGTTGCCAGGGTTGCTAATTTCCAATTTCCAGGTTCAAACTGCATATCAAGGATGAGAAGATTTGCAATTTTAGCAATCAGTGTTTTGATTTTACAACAGTTTAAAGTAAAGTAATTACTGCTACAGGTGGCAATTTATGGATAACTGCAAAGTATTTAATGTTTGTTTTGTAAAAGACAAATACAGGCTCAATACATACCAATAGCAAAAACATGTGGTGGCAACGTTCCAAGTGATCTACCCTGGTACTTTTTAATAGTATCTGAAGAATAAAACTTAGGTATATCAAAATATGGATTCACTGCAATAAGAATGTTGGCTACATAGGTCTGTGAAGAAAACAATTAACAGCAAACTATTAGCTAGTATCCAACCGAGTGGTTAACAGCAATTTTTTATTACTATTGAAGACTATAGCCTAAGTATAACAATTACATTTATAATTCTTTCCAGCTAATGCAGATACAATAACGGATATATTTTCCGAGTTCCTCTAATTATCTTCTCAGGACTTCTATGAAAAAGCACTTCTCAGGAGAGTTTCCTAACCACTGAGCTGTGGAGTATGTCCTGAATTTGACCTTTCTCCCAAACTCCTTTTAAATTATTTCCTATTGTCCGAGTTACTGGATCAAGGATAGGACACCACAACCTCCTCCTCAAAAGTGAATAAACTAAGCTCCTGGCTCACATAACACACTCTCGTCCAGTGAGGAGGATAATTTTTCAATAT